CTGTCATACCATCTATTTCTAGCTATGTAACTGGGGGGCTTCGCCCCCCAGACCCGCCTGTCACGGGGAGTGGGGGCTGTAGTCTTTTGTGAGAAATTCACTTTTTGGCTTAAGCACGAGACTATAGCCCCCACCCCCCGTAATAGGGGGTCTGGGAGACGAAGCCCCCCAGTTACATAACTAGAGATAAATGATATGATAGATTTTCTAACCTAACACGCCCTCAAATTTGTCTATTAATATCTCGCTTCGCAGTAGAGAGCGACGATTTTGTCAGAGGAAAAAGTTGTTTGGCATACGAAAACGCGTCGATTGAGTCTATTTTCATCGAAATCGGAGGTGTTGCCGTTAAACTAAATAATTATCAAAACCACAATTTACACTCTGCACCACAAATAGTAGTACGAAAATTGGAGTGAGTCCCAGGTGCGCACATTGCAAACTGACACATCCAATCATATGTCGTTGTTTATAGAGCCTCTAGAATATCTCCAGGCATATGACGTTGTGGTTGGATGTGATAAAAACGAAATAAAAACACAAATATTTTCTACAAAACTATTTTTTATTTTTCATCAGTTGCATATCCATTGCATAAACAAACAATACATAATTAAATGATGATAAAATAAACGGTGCACATCATTCTGTGTCCAAATGAACAGGCAACTGGACGATGTTCAAGTAAACGGTGTCCAAATGAACAGTGCGCATCCTTCTGTGCCCAAGTGAACAGTGGGCGATTGAACGGTGTCCAAGTGAACGGTGTCCAAATGATCGGTGTCCAAATGATCGGTGTCCAAATGAACGGTGTCCAATTGAACGGTGTCCAAGTGAACTGTGTCCAAATGAACGGTGTCCAAGTGAACAATGTCCAAATGAATGGTGTCCAAGTGAACAGTGCGCACCCTTCTGTGTCCAAGTGAACAGACAAGCAATTCCACGGTGTCCAAGTGAACAGTGTACAAATGAACAGCACGCATCGTTCTATGTCCAAGTGAACACCTGAATGGTATCCAAGTGAACGGTGTCCAACTGAACTGTGTCCAAGTAAACGGTGTCCAAGTGAACGGTGTCCAAATGAACGGTGTGTAACTGAACGACGTGCATTTTCTTTCGTGTCCAAAAACAACGGTGCCCAAAAGTTTCGTGTCCAAACGCACCGTGTCCAATTGAACTGTGTGTCAAATGCCGTGTCCATTTGCAACCTGTCCATTTGTAACGTGTCCAATTGTACTGTGTCCAAGTGCACCGCTCCCGGTGTTGGAGGCTCGGCCACATCCGAGCGGCCTGCTCTGCATCGACAGACTGGAACGGGCTATATTACCGGTGTGGGCACATCGCGCTAGCGTGCAAGGAGGAGGCGGCCTGTGCAGTGTGCCGCAAGGAGGGGCGAGCCTCGGACCACCGGATGGGTGGTTCCGAGTGCCCGCTGGTGGGAGGTAGCCCGGCTAGCGGACGGCTAGAGGGCCATCGTAGGGGCCGGCCGCCGAACGCGGCGGCGACGGGTCAAGGAGACCAGTGGCCCGTGGGACGGGCGGGCCACATCCTATCGCGGGAGGTGGAGATGGCCCCGGTCTGACATCAGACCGGGGCCGCGGCGCCGGCTGACCATCTGGCCGGTCTCTCTCCTCTATGGGCCGCTGGGGGGGTGCGCGGGGACGCACCCTCCTAATTAAAGCGGCCCGGGAGGGAGGCGGCGCGGTGTTGGGTCGCACCGCGCTTCTGCTAAGAGGGATTGTGACGGGGAGTAGTTATTTACCCCCGGTTCGGGAGGTGTCCTTCAAACAGCGGAGGGGGGCCTGGCGGATTGTATGCGCAAGTAGTTCCCGCGGGCCTCCTGACGACCGCCGAGGGCGGACCCGCCAGGTGTTTTAGTAGGTAGGGCCCCCGTCGATTTTCGACGGGGGAGGAGTCCCACATAACCTGCGGTCTCCCCCCAGAAATCGCGGGTATACATAAAGCATTTCCCCTAACTTAACCAAAAAAAAACAAAAAAAGGTGTTTCCGTGAAGACGTGGGTTCCACGATAAAATATCTGGGACTTGTCTTGGATGGTACATGGAGGTTTCAGAAGCATTTCGAGCTTCTGGCCCCGAAGTTGGGCAGGGTGGCCAATATGTTAGGTGACCTCCTGCCCAACCTCGGCTGCCCAAAAAGGAAGGCACGGCGGCTGTATGCCGGCGTCGTCCAGTTCATGGCCCTGCACGGGGTCAGTGCGAGGTCTGGGCGAGTGCGATGGCGACCAACCAGCGCATCATTGCGCTGGCACACCGCGCGCAACGGTGGGTCACCATTCGCCTCGCCCGGGCCTATCGGACGACGTCGCTTATGGCCACCACGGCCCTGGCCGGTCTCCCCCGCTGGAGCTCCTTGCACAAATGCATGCCGAAGACCTATCGGCGTGTCAAGGAGCTCCGTGCCGGGAGACTTCGAATATCTGGCCAGGGCCATAGGAATCGCAAATTGCAGGCTCATCAACGCCTCTTTCTAAGGTGGAGCATCCACCTGGAGGGGCGACGGGCCGATCAGGAACAAGGGTCGCCGAGGCCATCCGGCCCTGTCTACAAGAGTGGGTAGACAGGACCCGTGGAGAACTGTCCTTCCGGACGACGCAGGTACTTACCGGACATGGATGCTTCGGTGAGTATCTGCATAGGATTGGTAGGGAGCCTAACTCCCGCTGTCACCACTGTGGTGCTGAAGTGGACTCGGCGCAAAGTACCCTGGAGGAATGCTTCTCCTGGGTGATAGAGCGCCGAGTTCTAATTGATGTGGTGGGAGCGGATCTCTTCCCCGGCCCTCATCAGGGCCATGCTTGGGGGAGATGAGAGCTGGTCCGTCGTCACCTCCTTCTGTGACACAGTCGTATCACAGAAGGAGTCGGAAAGGGGCCGGCGGGGCGAAACCACCGCCCCCCGGGATGGGGTGAGGCGCCGCAGAAGAAGAGCGTCGCCACACTTACCCGCGCATTAGCGCGGGTTTGTAGGGCTGCGCGCCCGTTGGAGGGGACGTTACCGCTAGCGTTCCCTCCCCCGGTGTACCTGCGGGTACCTGCGCCGCCGTCTCCAACAATGTCACCGGGTCCTCTTGATCAATGGAGGACCCGGCCTGGGGGAGATATAAGGCGCCTGATCGGGCGGGGGAAGCGCGTCGCAACGCGTGACTCCACCCGTGACAAGGAGTCAAACCAGGCGCCTCCGGGAGGGGCGCAGAGCGGCCGGTTCGCAAGGACGGACTCTTAAGCCGCTCACCCCCTCCCAGAGCCAGGAGGCTTTTGACCAAGAGAGGCGGAGAGGAATCTCGACCCCTCCGCCCCCCACAATCTTGGTCGGAAGCGTAGGAGCGGGTCGAGTCCAGACGGGACCGGGCTCGGTCAATAGCGCCCTTACAGGTGAAGTGTGATCGGACGGGGGGACCCACGTCCGGTCATGGAAGATTGGTGACACAGGCCGGGAGGGAATAACATTCCTCTTGGTCCGGTAAGGGTGCGGGGTTTAGGTTTTTCCCGCTTTGCGGCTGAGGGTGTCCCGGAAGTAATGCGCAAGCGGTTCCTGGGACGCCCTCGCAATAGCCGCAAGGGGTTCGACAGAGGTTTTAGTGGGTAGGCCCCCCGTTCCCCCGGACGGTTAGTTCCGGGGAGGAGAGTCCAACATTACCCCTGGGAAAGTCCCGTATTTCCCGGGGGTGTGCGTAAAGCATTTCCTCTGCCTAAACAAAAAAAATGGTGTTCCATTTGCAGCTGCCTGCAATGCCCTCTCCATTTCTCCGCCTCCTCTTTGCGCCTCATATCTGTTGCAAATATATTTACAGCACGCCGTGCCTCTTCAGACCCAAGCATTGGTTTAATAACCGCCGCTAATGTCAGGTAGCTTCCTATAGCCCTTGTCAGGTCCGCCCTCTGGGTACTCCATTCCGCGCAAATTGTACTGGGCTGGGTCCTCTCTTTCTCCGCACTGGTCGCACTGGTTGTTATCTCGTTTCCCTATCCGCTTCAGGTAATCGTTGAAACAACTATGTCCTGTGATCATTTTGGTCAGATGAAAACTGAGACCCCCTTTCCTTTTTTCCACCCAATCGGAGAACCTGGGTAAAATAACCACTCTTACTCTAGCGCCCGATATGTTTGGCTGCCTCAAGTGGATCTCCCACTGTCTTTTGAGGAGCACTTGCTCCATCGCTCTGATTTCATTGTCAATACTGGGTGTCCAATCTTTTAGCCTCCCTAATTCTTACATAGATCCTCTTCTGTAAGGCACCTGCCAGATATAGTGGTGGCGTCCAAGTAGTGTCGCCGCTTCGTAGGACACTGTCCTGTATGCAGCAATCACTCTCAGAGCGACGTATCTCTGCACCCGTTTCAAAGGTAACTGCGCTCTCTGCAACACCGACGAGGACGCCGACGAAGCTAGCGAGTCACCACACCGGTGCGCCATATAGCAAGACCGATGACACCACCGTTGCATATAACCTCCTTTTGGTTTCCATTGGGCCTCAAAGATTTGGCATCAGCCTTCCTAGGGATCTGGCCACACGTAAAGCTTTATCCGCTACGTACTCAAAGTGCTGAGTAAATTTCCACTTGCTGTCTAGCATTATACCCAAATACTTGAAGGTGTCACCAGGTCTCTCGTCCACGTCTCCAATCCTCACCTCCGGCACAACACTCGGTCTCCTTCTTGGTCCATAGAACAGAATCACTTCCGTTTTAGCCGCCGACACCTCCAGGCCCAGCTGTTCTATACGCCTTATGGTACGTCCCACTTGTAGATTGGCCTTTGCAATCACCGATCCGACATTATCCGCTGCTACCAGATAATAAAAGTATTATCGGCGTAACATGTTAGGGCGCACCCGTCCTCCGTTCCCGATCTCAACACCGCATTATACGTGATGTTCCACAAGAGTGGCCCCAAGACCGACTCCTGTGGAACTCCCGCCCAAACTGCCCTTTTCCTCGTCTCTCCCCCCATTACTCCGTATTCTATCCATCGTTCTGATAGATACGCAGCTATGATCCTCCATATATAGTTAAGGAATCCTTCCTCTCAAGCGCCTTGCGTATTTTCGTCTAGGGGATCAAGTTGAAAGCATTTTTAATGTTTAAACTGATCCCAAAACATATTGCCCATCTCTTACAGCTTCTGTTGTCATCTGTTGGACCCTAAGTATCGCGTCAGGTGGAACGACCTTCTCTAAAACCATACTGATTGTCCGCAAGATCGTTGAGCGGGTTCTCGTTCATCCAGTCCGACATGCGTTATGCCAGGATTTTTTCTAGCACCTTTCCTATCTCATTTTACAGGCATATTGGTCTTGCCTTCAGCACCGTTTCCACCCGAGGATTGCCCTTTGGAATAAGAACCAATATTGCCTCTTTCCACTCTGCCGGGAAGCTCCCCTCTCTAAGGCAGGCCGTAAAGCATTTCGCTATTCTGTCTATTACTGCATTCGGTACTTTCCTCCACGCCATGGCCGTGAAGCCGTCTATTGCAGGGGCTCTATTCTTTGCGCCCCTCTTCTTCACGACCGTTCGCACTTCTGCTGCCGACACCTTCCATCTTTCCTGCTATTCGACAACGATGTCTTGGTTCATCCTGTCCTGGAGTCCACCCCCGCCCCCAGAAACAAAGTATAAGTTTGTCCACCTTGTCCTTTTCCAAAGTCTCAGTAAGGCGTGAGGTGGTGTTCCTCAGCTTGTCCAGGACTAGTTTATAGGGCGTACCCCACGGGTCTGCCTCTATAATAACTATGAGCTCTTGCCATGCATTCCGTTTGGCCAGCCTAATCAGACATCTCATATTGTCCGTGCTCTCTCTGTAGGCCTTTCTCAGCCCTGCCAGTTCTTTCTTACTTTCTCCACTCATACCGGTCTTGATCTTCCCCATTTTTTTCGTTAGCCGCCTTCTTGCCTTGATACAGCCATGCGTTCTTCCGCGATGCCCTAGTTCCACTAGTATGCCTTCCGATTTGTTTTCCTGGCGCCAGCCCGTGGTGCTGCGAGAACGCATGCCTCCTTCATGGAGCGCTGAAGCCACCGTGCAGAGTTTGTTGCTGTTTCCCCAGTGTTATCTTCTGCTTCACCCTCTCTGCATCTTAGTTCCCACGACTTAAAGACTTCCTCTTCCAGTGCCAAACTTCCAGCAGTTGTACCTTCCCATGCTGACTACGTTCTGTTTAGTTCCAGACGGTGTCCCTATTCCATATATAATGGACCTGTAGTCAGATAACGATTCCATTTTCGAGATCCTCCAACCCTCGATCTTTGAGGCCACATCCGGGGAACCCCAGGTCAGATCAACCACGGAACAGCCCTGAGGTCTGACACATGTGGGTTTCCTCCCCTCATTAATCAGCCGAATGTCGTTCTGTGCCGCCCACTCCTCTAGCAGGTCCCCCTTATAGTTCTGTCTTCCTTCGTCCCATGTTCTCGACCGAGCGTTGAAGTTTCCAGATACTATAATTTTCGTCACTCCTACCTCCCTTATGGCGTCTCCAAGCTCGTCGAGGAACTGCAGGAATGGTCCCTTCCTCGTTTGTGGTGACACGTAGCATGACAGGATCCTCCACCCCCCGGTCTCTATTATAACAAAGTCATCACCTCTCTTTACCGAGGTGCACCGCCCTAGCCGCGCCGATCCCCTAGGCATCCATACTACCGCCGCTAACCCGCTCCTGCTGAGGAACCAATTTCCGACCTCTTGAGCTGCCGGTGGTTCAGCAATAAAACACACGTCTGTGCCTAACTCCGCTGCTTGGTGTACGAGCAGGTTGTACGCCTCCCAACTCCTATTCAGATTGCACTGAATTATTTTGATTCCCATTATCGGTTGAATCTGTTAACCCAGTCCTCCAAGCTGGTTTCCCTATGTATTTCTTCCCTTCCATGCACACGGCGGATCCTAGACGATGCTTGCCATCTCCTCCTTTTTCAATGCACACCACGCATTTTAGAGTTGTAGTGTATTGCCTTGCTTTGTGTTCGCACTCACCACACCTATAACACGCCGTACTCCTGCCCGTGGACGATCTGCACAAGTTTCTTACATGCCTGTATTCCCAGCAGCGCTAACACTGCAGGGGTCGGGGACGCAGCAGCTTTACTTTTGCGATCGTCCATCCGATCCTCAACATCCTTTCCCTTGTAACCCGTATTGCCGCGACCAAAGGACATTGCACCCAGATAGTGTTGAGTCCATTCGGCAACTTTTTCATCTCTCCAGTTCTCGTCTCCTCAAGAGTACAGCCTCCCGTGTTCGTGACCACGTCTCTTACTTCATCACAAGTGACAGAGTCATCTATCCCTATGATGCGTAGCTCGCCCTTAACTACCGGCCTGGCCACGATCGCATTTTCCTCAGGCAGTACTTCCCTAAGTTTGTCAGCCAGAGCATTGGCCTTGTCTTTGCCATCTGTGCTTATGATCTCGACTAGAATCCCCCCATTGATGGCTCGTCTGATTCTTGTCTGTTCTATACCCATTCCTGACAGGGATATTTTTTCCCGTGCCTTTCTCACTGCTTCCGCATAAGAGAATCCCTCCGTTCTTCCGGTTATTGAAACCACCGCCGTTCTAGGTGGTCTTCTTCTCGTCTCGCTGTTGCGCTAAGCTTTCGCACTGGGAGCCTCCTTCTGCCGTTGGGGCTGCGTCCCCTTCTTCCCTACGATCTCCCATTCCAAGTCTTTCCTTTCCCTGGCGTTCCAATCAGGAACCTCGGATCCTAACTCTTTCCCTTCTTTGGCCTCGCACCTCTCCTCTCCTTCAATGGGGTGTCATCATGCAGACCTGTCCCCTCTCTGGGTGGGGCTATTTGCTCATCCGAGCTGATCCTTAGTCCTGCCGGCTTTTTTCTCACATCTTTTCTCATATCTCTTCCCTCCTCGTTTCCGCACTCATCTGCCTTACCATTGCTCTATTTCCTATTCTGACTCAAGTCCTTTCGCAATTGTTTCCTCGCTCTCAGAAGTTCTTCGATTTGTCTTGTTATTATTACTTCCCTTTTCTTATCTTTGTTTATCCTTGTACGTCTCGTTTATCCGCTGCCGTTGGTGTGGGTGCCAGCACACCTTTCAGCGGCGGTCTCCATACTACGTTCCCTTCTCCTCTGTTTCCTGTCTCAAACATCTCCGCCTCTACGTCCGTATCTTCCCCGGCAGTCGGGTCCTCCTTTCCTGTTTTTTTACACTTTCCGCTGTCTTTTCTCGTCCTCTCCTTTCCGTTCTCCTTCCCCTTTTGCTGATTTTTTCCCTCGATCTTGGCCATTTTTTCCTTCAGTTTTTGGATGGAGCGCTTGGCCTCTAACAGATCAGACTTGTTTCTTTCGCACTTCTCCCTCACTTCCTTCATTTGCATCGAGAGCTCCGCGTTCCTTATCCTTAGATACAGCGGGTCTCCTGACGCTTCTGCCTTCCCCACTAATGCCCTTACTAGGTCCTTGACATTGATGACGTTATTTCTCATCATGCCACTAATCCGCCCCTGTATATTTGAGGACTTAGCTCTGCCGGCTTCCACCTCATCCAGCCATTCGAGTGCCAGTACGCCCGCTGCCGCTGCTGTCATCTTGCTGTACCCGACTGTGCCCAGCACGATGCTCCCTTCTCTGTTATCCACATCGAGGATGTCATCCTTGTCTGACGGATTGCTCTTTTTCCGGCTCTTCTGCCCTTTGGTCCCCAAGTACGCGATCTCTTCCTTCTTTTTCATCTCCTTTGTCTTTCCAGTAGCTTCCTTCTCTATATTCCTTCCTTCTCTGATTCCCTCCGATTCCGGTTCTTTCTTATCCTTCCCTTTAGTCTCCACTCTCCTCTTCTTCCTGGGCGCCAGCGCTTTATTACGCTTGGCCGCTCAAGTGTATGGCACGTAGTCCTCATCCGAGGATACTGTGACCGCCTCACTCTCCGATCCCTTCCTGTATCTGGCTTTGCCTAAGGTGGAAGGAATCGGTTTGCCCGCTTCACTGATGTTTTTCGATCGAGTCACTTCCGAACCGGACTTGTCGGAGACGATTCTCCATGCCTTGGTACGCGCCTTCCCTTTCCGGTTTGTGGATACTGTCTGGATTTCCTTTCTCTCGGAGTTACCTTTTAGCTGTTCGTTAATTGGGGATATAGAGCCCTCCTTTTTCCTATTCCTTGGTAGTGGTTGGCTGATGTCTAGCTCCGTTACCGCTTCAACCTCTATTGAGGCCACTTGCTTTTCAACATCCTCGGCCAGTCCTGGGTCTTCAACCTGAGGAACAGCGATGTGGGAAAAATCCTTTGCTTCTCCTTCTCCTTCTATATTGAGTTCGAGGGGGTCAATACCCTCCTCTATGCCACCCTCGTTCTCGGCGCTGGGCATCACTGTGCCTTCCTCTACCTCCTCCTCGCCATCTTTCTCAGCAAGGCTAGTGTTTGCCTCGGTGCTGCTGCAGTCCTGTGGTGGCCAATGACTCTTGGTCCCGTCCCCGAATTGGACTTGCAGTTCTGCTTGCTCCCTCTCATCTATGTCTGGTTTTTTATCGGATTAGGAAGTCATCTTGCATCGATTTTAAAAGACGGTTCGCCCATCATGGGTCCTCCACAACTCGGTGGAGGATTGTCCCCGCCTATTGTTAAACCTTATTTAAATACGGGAAAACTGAGAGGCAGCTTTCGGATGGCTAACCCTATTCCCGTAAAAGATTCTAATAAAAAAGGTTCCTGGTTAGGGCCAGGTCCACACAAAGATGCTAAAGGTTTAGCCTCACCCCAGCAGCCGAACGCGAGGTGACCCGAACACCCGCTCATCCGACCGCCAGAGGTCGCATGCGTATCTTCCCGTATGCGGGATATGACGGACAGGGGGCCGCCCCGCCGTCCCACACAGGCGCCCAGGACAACGGCTTCAACTTCCGGAGGGACGCTGATCAAGACAGAGAGCGGTCCTCCCCACGTTAAACATGGGTGTTCACGAGACCTTTGCCTGACAAACGCCAGGACTTATATTTACCCTTATTACTAACCCAGAGGTCAGGTACTCGACATCACTGTCTTTCACGGTCGGGGGGCTATTACTCCCCCCTTGGTTCGTGTCGCGGGAAATATGACCGAAGCCTGGCCGTCCCTCACTCACACCACTTCCTCAGAACCTCCTCCTCCCGAGTCGCTCCCGCACGGCAAGCCATGCCAAGGCATTTCCCAGGGATCCGCAGAGGTTCTTCATCAGAGCCATCCATACCGCC